CGCTTCAAGGTGCTAGTCGTTACTTTTAAAGCCCTACGTGGTTTAGGACCTGGCTACCTGAGAGACCGCCTCCTGCCATTTACCTCCCAACGACCAATAAGATCGCACAGGTTGGGCCGCCAACGACCCAGGCCTGCCATACCCCTGAACTGGTTCCCTCACTGCCACTGGGCTGCCGCCATTTTGGTTTTTAATGACTGAGCATGCGCAGTTCACTGTAAATTGTTCTGCACATGCACAAAGAACAATTTACATTGAACAGCGCACGTGCGTGCTGAACAGCGTTGCACATAGGTTGCAAACCATAGTAAAACTGGCAGCAACCCACCCCTGGATGGCATGTGATAGACCTGTCCACATTGAATTTATCTAATCCCTCTTTAAAGTCATCCAAGATACTGCAATAGGTTTACGCTTGTAGCCAACGTAGAAATTATGGCATATTGATGGAATAAGGAGACACCAGCTGGACATTCTGGACTTATGGCACAAAAAATAGTAATGCTAAAGCTTAAATTAAGTCTTGATTCATCTCACTTTTGCAGCTGTTTGCTGTACAAATCTGTCTTCCACCGTTTGGTATCTCTAAGACCCGGCTGCTCCAACACATGATCATTTTCTTCCCACTATCTCTAGGTCACAAAGATTCTGTCACTTGTGTTGATTTTAGTTATGACTCCACTTTCGTGGCCACGGGTGACATGGGTGGACTCATTAAAGTCTGGAGAGTCGATGCCAAAGAAGAGATTTGGTCATTTGAAGTGGGTGACCTGGAGGTGAGCCTGTGAGTGCCATGGCAAAAGCTTTGCCTGAAAAAGACAACTGACTTTCCCAATGTGAAGCAAACTTGATAAACTATGGAGGCGTTACCATAGTTAGGAGTGGGTAATTCGCGACCCACGTGAGGAACTGCTAGTACCTTTTTTGTAACCCACATAGTTTTGTTAGAGTTATACTACCAATAAAGGAGAACATTTGTAGCTCCAGGTTGAATTGACAGGTCTTTGATGCTCTCTGAGTTTGGTTGTTTCTTGTAGATGTTGCATGAAATATCTGCAAGAAAACAACCAAGGTTAGAGTGCACCAAGGACCCCTCATTTGCTAGAGTGTGTATATTTTATCCTCTTTTTCACTCATGGGGGGCTTTAAGGATCAAAGCTATTGTGAATCACCTAAAGACATCCAAAACATCCTTTAGAATCCCTGAAGCATTCCTTCCCCGTGGAGAGGTACTTAAGGGACAGAATAGATGCCTAAGCTTCTGCAATTCTTAAAATACCAATTCCACTCTTAAAACCTCTCCAAAGCTGAAAACAATTAAACGTCCCAAGAGAGCCAAGGTGGCGCAGTGGTTAAATGCAGCACTGCAGGCTACTTCAGCTGACTGCAGTTCTGCAGTTCGGCTGTTCAAATCTCAC